ACTATTATAAAACTACCTAAAGACATTAAAGGGCTTAAGGGAGAGTCCCCACTAGATAGATACCTCTGTTCTTCTGGTGGAAGAACATTTCATGGAGGGGAGACTCAACATTCTAAATATGTTAATTGTCTCAAAACTACATTCAATGAAATTTCAGTAAAAAGAAGGTGGTGAAGAGAACTGTCCTATAAGATACCAAGACTTACTTTAAAGCTACAGTAATTACAACAGCGTGATTTACTACAGGGACAGAAAAACTGGCAGAATAAACTGAATGCCCAGAAATACATAGAGGAACTTCACATACAGGAACTTATACATGACTGAAGTGGCACTGCAGATCAGAGGGAGGAAGAATGGTCTATCTAATAACTAGTATAGAATAACTAGTTACAGATATTTCTAAAATATTAAATTTGATCTCTTCCTCACAACATAAGCAAAAATCAATTTCTTAGAGATGCTAAATATAACTTAAAAACATTTAGGAAAAAAATGTAGACTATTTTTACAAACTCAGAATAGAGAAGGATTTCTTAAACAGAACAGAAAGTTAAGTCATAAGAAAGATTTGTAAATGAGAATTTATGATTAAGAGTATCTTAATTCATCAAAAGATCCCTAAAAGAAAATTAACAGCCACAAACTGGAAGAAGACATGTGCTTCTCATATAACTGACCAAGGATTAGCTTCTTGAATATATAATGAAAACTTATTACGAAAAACGTCTTAATATTAAGTTTTTGTTTATCACAAAGTAAAACTAGTATTATAAAAATATTGGCCAAAGCTGTTAAAATTCTAATGCTTTTTGGATACAGGTCATGGGAACCCAGTTTCTGCCATCAAAATATCAAGTTTAATTTTATGATTTATCAACTCCATAACCAATAAGCTATAATGTTTAGTTGAGCACGACTAGCAATTTGTGTTTACAAGGCTCCCAATTTCTTCAAGAAAACTTCAAGCAGCTTCTACTTTCTGACAAGGTTAATTCATGTACAGCTTACAAAGGGAGGGGAAGGGAGAGGAGTACTGTGAAGGCTCCCAGGCAGGCAGTGCAGCGTGGGCTGTGGGTAACTGCTTATTTCCATTGTGAAGAGTCAAAGAAGGTAATAAGCAAGGATCCAAAAATGTTCCTGATACCTTAATTATTGGTATCAAAAGTTAGACCCTGGTGTTTAAATTCCCCTTTTATTCCTCCACTATTCCTCTGAAAAGATGATCAGACTCCAATCTTCCCACTCTCTTGCTCCAAGTATTTCTAGGCTGCAGAAGAAAAATACTCTTTTCTGATCTGGGGTCCTAGAAAAGAGCCTTTACCTCTTGGGTTCATTCCCTGCTTAAAATTTCTAGCCAGTTACCACTGCAAAGTGACTGTGATGTACACACTCTCTAAATAACAGACTGGATAGATTTTTTTTTTAATTAATTTATTTTTATTTATTTATCTTTGGCTGCATTGGGTCTTCGCTGCTGTGTGTTGACTTTCTCTAGTTGTGGTGATCGAGGGCTACTCTTCATTGTGGTGTGCGGGCTTCTCACTGCGGTGGCCTCTCTTGTTGCGGAGCACAGGATCTAGGCACGCAGGCTTCAGTAGTTGTGGCACACGGGCTTAGTTGCTCTGCGGCATGTGGGATTTTCTCAGACCAGGGCTCGAACGCGTGTCCCTTGCACTGGCAGGTGGATTCTTAACCACTGCACCACTGGAGAAGTCCCCAGACTGGATAGAGTTAAATGGGCTGTGGGGACTTCCCTGGTGGTCCAGTGGTAAAGAATCCGCGTTCCGATGCAGGGGGGGACTCAGGTTCGATCCATGCTGCAGGGCAACTGAGCCTGCACACCACAACTACTGAGCCCGGGCGCCTCAACTAGAGAGCCGCGTGCTGCAAACTACAGAGCCCATGCACCACAACTACAGAGCCTACGCACCCTGGAGCCCACACGCCACAACTAGAGAGAGAAAAACCGCATGCCACAACTAGAGAGAAGCCCACGTGCCGCAACTAGAGAGGAGCCCATGTGCCGCAACGAAGATCTCACATGCTGCAACTAAGACCAATGCAGACAACAAACAAACAAACAAACAAGCAGGGCCCAGGAATGTGTGCGGCAGCATTTTTTAAAAACTAAAGAAAAAAAAGGGCCGTGGACAAGAATTTCAAATCAGTCTAGAAGGACATTTTCATCACTGAAATCCATCTACTTTTATTCTTTTTGGGTTTTCATGGTAATTGTTCAAGACTTGTAATGTTTTTAAATTTTATGGCATTAGTGAACAAGAAATGAAGTATCAGATGTTATTAAAACCCCTTAACACAGTCAGGAGAAATGAAGAATGGCACCAGAGTAGAAATCAACGTAACAACTCTTAATTCATTCCCTTCTTTCTCTAATGGGAGAGACACTTGTCATTGTTAAAATTTGCATTTACACAGATAAGCTACAATTATTTAACATGGTACCTTTACAAAAGACCCTCAGAGGTGAGTTTATAATTTTAAAATAAATACTGAGACAGATAAGGAAAGGTTAAGTGCAGTGTCCAATACAGCTAACATGTGGGTAAGTGTTCTGGATAAAGACCAATCCAAGCCCATTCTCAGCTCCACCACGTTACCTATTAGCTGTGTGATCTTGGGTAAGTTACTAAGCTTCCCTGAGCATCAATTTCCTCCTTCATAAAAGCATGTGCAGTACTAACTCATTGTTGAGAGGATTAAATGCAGGGGGCAAAAAGGCCAAAATGTACAAGACACTTTAATAGTACAATTCCTAATATAGAGTGATTTCTGTGAATGATTAGAAAATTACTTTATGAGACTTCTTTTTGTATGACACTTTAAAAATATATGTATGATGAGAGTTCTACAATCTCAAGATTCACTCTTGTGTTTAGCATAAAAGACCAAGTTACCAAAAAATACTCATTTGAGCACAAAAACATGCTCATAAATATTCAGTCTTCTTAATTTGAAACTGAAACTAATACATAGATATTAATTAACTATAACTTTTCAACAGACTCCATAAACTAAATGGGACAAGTTAATCAAGCTGAGCAGAAAGATGAGAGCTCAATACAGACCACAAGCACAGAGATATAAAGTGCTATTTAAAACAGGAAGTGTGATAACTAAGGGTTTTTTTCTTTAAGAAGCATGATATTCAGTATAAGAGAACATTTATTAAGTTCTCAACTCTGAAACAAATGCCTTGACTATTTAATTTAACAAAGTTATACTTTGAATGCAGCAATATGTCAGATCCTCACAACTTAAGATGTGCATAATTTTATAGAGGATTATATAGGACTAATAAAACTGATAATAATTACAACCACATTGGCTATCATTTAGTCGGCACAGGTTTCTTACTTTCTCACAATAAATCAGTGAGAGAAGAAGGAAAAAACCTGTTATCCCCATAAAGATGAACTGATTGACACTCAGGAAGATTATGTAACTTGTCCAAGGTTACAGATAGTAAGTGACAGAACAGAGATTTGAACCCATGATTGTTATCACTTCAAAAACCAATATTCTTTCTGCCCCAAATTGCTTCTCTAGAAGAACAGAACATTAGGAAATGGAACTAAATGACTGGGAAGATCTCTTGAAAATCTAGGATTTAAATTCTTTTTACTAATAAGCTAATATACCTGAGGGTATTAAGCTTCAAGCCCCTGCCCCAACAAGCAACTCTCCAACCCCTATCCCCTTCAGGGAAAAAAGCAAGACAGGAAGAAGTAGAAAAGAAAAAAGAATTACTTAACATTAAATCTTTCAGATACAAAAGGGTGATCTGCGGTAATGACCAGCACTAAGAAAGTGAGAGCACGAGGACAGGAAAGAATTTAGATTAGTCATTAGAGAAGAACTTCCTGACAACAAAAATTGAGACACTGGAACACATTATCAGAGAACATTATGTAGGATAAACTGAAGAAAATACAACCTCATGAAGGGCTGTCAACACACAAACAGTGTCAACATACACACAAGATGGGGAAGTACAAATATAGCCTACTTGGCTCAGCCTCATTTATAATTTAAAATAGGAAAGAAAAAAGGAAACTGGTAAAATAAGCTTGACAGCAAGTCAGGAGACTGCACTACAATTCTGTCAGCCTAAGTACAAGTTAGCAAAATGCTAACCCAATATTTGTGCCACATTTTTCAAAAGACCCATCAAGGCACGGTACCATTTTATATTTTCCTTCAATTCACTATCCATTAAAACATAGCATCTCTATTTCCTCTGCAAATTCATGTTCAGACTAGAACCAGTGCTCTAGTCTAGGCTCAAAGTTAGTCATCACAGATGCACTGGTAAAATAAAACCCAAATTCTGCTAGTTTCTTAAGTATGTTTTGGGAGAATTTTGAATGAAAAATATCACAAAGATAACTTCCTTTGGGATTAAAAACAAAACAAAAAACCCCCACATAACTTTGGTGGAATTATTAGACCTAGGAGAATCGTGTCTGTTCCACACGCCTGTACCCCTTTCTCTCACTACATGAAATCAATCCATCCAAAGTTGATCGCCTTAGGAAACTGCAGAGTCAACGATTTCATTTATCCCTTTCCAATGTCAGCTGAGTCTTGATGTGAACCTTTACTAACTTGTAAAAAAATGAGAAGTCTACATGTTCCTGGTAGTAAGAGGATTCTCTCACTTTCATTATAAAAAGAAATATGTTTCTTTTATGATGGTTATGTTATTATCAGGGAAAAAAGGGCTACTTCCATTAAAAAACAAATACACTCAAGTCAGCCAAGTTAATGCTTTTATATTCCTTCCCTTTTTTTCTCTACAGCCACTGCCATCCAAAAGAGAAGTAACCTTTCAGCCTCTGGTCCTACCTAAAACCCTCTCCTTTACACAAGACAGAAGAGACTTTGGACCATTAATTATTTGGTTCTAATAATATACCCCAGTAGTTGAGAGCATAAGTACTTGCTTTTGGGAGACCTAAAAGCTAGGGCAGACCTACCTTGTGAGTAGAGAAGGATCTGCATCTCTAAAAGAACACAGGTAAACACCTGTACCAAGTTCTCCAGGCCCAGGAGCTCGAAGACCTCTCGGAGCGGGTAATCGGAGAGAGGAAGTTCACTGGGGCCCGGCCTCTGACAGATGACGGGTTCATAAACACCATAAAATTTCAGTGATCTCCCTGGAGGAGGAAGGGGCACCTCATAGAGAATATTATGGATGTAGCTCTCAAGCGGCAAGGGTGGTGGCTGCTGTGAGGTAACTGCCTTGTAAAGCTGGATAAGGAATTTCTTGCAGGCCTGCATGAAAGGCAGTGGTGTGATCAAACATATACTTTTTGAAACATACAGGGTGTCTCTGCTGATGTCATAAGAGTTGTATCGCTGGAGTTTCAAAAGGGAAGTTGTATCTCCCTCGTCAATACTGCTTGCCAGTGAGTCCATGCTGCAGGAGGATGAAGCGTACAAGCTGCTGTAATGCTCTGCGTTGTGCATCTGGTAGAGCGTCTGCATTGCTGTGCAGATTTGCTTACTTGTAACTTCTTCATAAAAAGTGAGAACAAAACCGTAGGTACGAGAACCATCTTCCCGGGTAATTATAAATGAGTGGAACTGAGGGTCTTTATTGTCAGTTTGTGTTCTGAAAGATAGCCCTTTAGGCATGCACAACTGTGGAGGAAGGAGAAGAAAAGCATCAGAAGGCAGTACACAAACAACTTCAAACCAGAAAAAAATGTTTGTGAAGCTCCATCTGAGCTTGTGACCTTCATTAAGTCATGTAACTTCTCTGAGCCTCGGTTTCTTTATCTACAACATTTGCTGCATCAGTGACTTGAAGACAAAATATGCAAGGGCACTTCACAAATATTTAGTATTTAAGGACTATTTTTAGAGTAATGTTGATAATGTTTCAGAGGAATACACAGACAGGTGAAGGCTCATTTGGTAAATGGAAAAAAAGTTAAACACAGAATAATAAAAACAACAGTATCATTTTTGCTATTTTGAACAGTATTATCCTTAGGAAAATAAACTTTGAAAATTAAATGATTTTTTTATTTACTGAAGCAGAAGGGTAGAAACAAGACATTTTAGATTATTTCCAGCAGAGATCATGCCCCAGGTCTTGGGAACTACCCAGGATTGAGTCAAACTTGGGAATAAAATTATGTGAGGAGTTAAAGATGCTATATTTAAGATACTTACAAAGCACAAGAAATTAAAATCAAGTCTTTAAAACATTTTAAACAAATTACAGAAAATGTGAAATACACTAAGGAAAACAGAACTTTTAATTCAACTATCCTAAAATAACGATCATTATTAACTTTTCTATTATTCCTTTCTACTTTTGTATTACAATATACTTTCTGCATAGAAATAATTTTACCATACATTATGACATTTTTTTTCAGATTTAATAATCGATCTGGGGCTTCCCTGGTGGCGCAGTGGTTGAGGGTCCGCCTGCTGATGCAGGGGACATGGGTTCGTGCCCCGGTCCGGGAAGATCCCACATGCCGTGGAGCGGCTACACCCGTGAGCCATGGCCGCTGAGCCTGCGCGTCCGGAGCCTGTGCTCCGCAACGGGAGAGGCCACAACAGTGAGAGGCCCACGTACCGCAAAAAAAAATAATAATAATTGATCTGGTGTAAAATTTAGAAGTTCTCCCAAATCCTCACATTACCAAAAAGATGTAATTCACTTAAGAGTTACATGTCCTTCATCCAAACTGTGAACAAACACTTATTAAGTGCCTTTCTGAGCTAGGCCCTGTGATGGTGATACAATGGTGAGAAAGACACAGTTCCTGCTCCTCTGAAGCTTCCAGTCCAGTAAGGATGACAGATGATTAAAAAATTATTAAAAAAAAAATTTATAAAGTATTGGAAGTGCTATGATAGGGTAAATATAGGCGGCTAGGAAAAAACACAGCAGGAGGACATAAATGAGAAAAGAGGGAGCCACCAGGGGAAAAAATTAAGGAAGCCCAAGCGGAGACCTGAGGATAAGTATAGGTGTGTATAGGTGTTAGTGAGATGAAGAGAAGGCAGAGAGGGCACGTGCAAAAGCCCAGAAGACAGAATGTGAGGTTTTGGGGAACTGAAACCTGCTCTTTAACTCACCTACTCTGCTGGGGGCCTTCAGACAATCCCAGTCCTCGGCCTGGAACCACCCTAACTCACATCCAGTAGAGCAAAGGGGCTACCCTGCCAAACCCTACTCAAACTGCAGACCTGTAAGCAAAACAATGATTTTGTTGTTTTAAATCAAGAGACTACGGCCCTGAGGTCAAATCCAATCTGCCACTTGTTTTTGAAAATAAAATTTTATTGGAACACAACCACGCTCCTCCATTTAAGCACCGTCTACACAGCTGCTTTTGCACTACAACAGCAGAGCTGAATAACTGCAACAGAGACTGCATGGCCCACAACGCTCAACTATTTACTATCTGGCCCTTTGTGGAAAAAAAAAACCCTGCCAGCCTATGTTTTAAGCCACTTAAGTAACATTGGGATGGTTTGTTATAGAGCTATATATACCCAAAACTCTCCCTTACTTCCTGTTAAGTCTCCATATAAATACTACCTTAAAGAGGCCTTCCTTTATCTTTCCATAAAAAATAGTGTTTTCATCCTATAAATGCCGTTAAAATGTCACTTCTCCTCTAAAAAGTCTTTGTTGAATGAAGCAGTTAAAAATCTTGCACCACAGTATACATATGTACATTGTACACTGACACACAGTAGTTTCTCAAATTTTGTTTCATCTCTAGATTGAAAACTACTCAAGGACTTGTAATAGCCTTAACGATTCAAGAGTACCACACATGGAACAATACACTATTTGGGGCCGTAATAAATGGTGACAGATAAAGATAAAAAGCAAAAATTGTGAAGCTCAGCATTAAGTATCCCAGTGAAAATGTCTTTATATTTCATATCACTGAATATAAGAACTGGAAAGAGCTATGGTAGCTTTACTTAATTATTATTATATATGTATGTTGACAAAAATTAAATTACTGTGTACATTTGGGCAAAGTAAGACATAGATTTAGGTAAAACACATGAATACCTCGATCTGTTAGGGGGAAATTTTGCTTATTCTTAATCTTGGGAATAAAAGGCCATGGCAGAATATTTTCATAATGAGGCCTTCATAATTAAAGCTGCTTTCACCATAACAAGTCAATGAGATCTTCTACTGATTATGAATGAAAACTCATCTGACACATTTACTATAGTCAATAAAGACTGTAGGAAGGATGATCTGAATCAGTCTTGCTCCAGGCTAAGCTCAAACCTGCATAGCATAGTGCATGGCACACAGGAGTATTTGTTGAATGAATGAATGAATAAATGAATGAACAAGAAAACAAACAAAAACAACAGCTCGGGGTACAGGATCAGATTTAGTTCACCTCTTCATTCAATCTGTAGTTCTCTTTTTACATCAAATAGGCAACACAGAAACACAGTGACCTCCAAAGTCAGCATAAAGACTTCATTTAATTGACAGGGTTTCCTGACATCATAAACCACAGAATTCCAGCTCAAACTGTTTTTGAACAGCTGCCAAATATTCCCTTAAGGATTTGTAGTTTTCGTCAGCATGCATTCAAACATCTACAGGAAGAGCCTGCCAAAAGTTATGCTCAAAATGAAGAATGACTTTCTGTGTTACAGATAACAGATGTAAGAATTATTAAATTCTCTTCCTACACATCAACAAAACTAAGAATTATATTTCTAATCTGGGAACCATAAATTGGAAAATGCTATTTCATTTTTAAAAGTGAGAATGATATGATTTGTCAAGTTTATTTTTCATAATCCTAAACTGTAAGTCAAGATTTGCTCACCATGGCATTCAACAACATCTTTTATTCCTTGATATTGCTGTTTACCAACAATATCCCCTCCCCACCCCACTCTCCCACAACAACTAAAAATTTAGAGTTGTCACTGCTGACCAGATTGTCGCTGGCAATCAGATTACTCTAGCCAAATTGGGCTCACAATGCTGTGTACCTCTCCTGGTTTGAGTGACCAAATGTCCTTATTATCTCTCTGGACTCTTTTAGGCAGTGTGGCTAGAATTTTAACAATTCTTTTTTCCATTTTCTATAGTTCTATTAATCCCACTCCTTCTCTCTTACTATACAAATAAAACTCTCAATGAGTCAGCTTGCCCTTCCTTTCTTCCTTCTTTCCCTCTCTCTTTCCTTTCTTCATTTAATAAACATTTATTTTATGTCATGTATTGCATTAGATCTTGATAACTCAAAAGACAAATATGAAAATCATCCCTTACTTCTAGGAGCTTCTAGCCTAATAGGAAAGAAAGACATATAAACCAGCAGTTACAAAATAATGTAACCAACACTGCTACAGAGTGTGTTCAAAGTATTAGAGGAATAGAGAAGACAGAGCACCTAACCATTCCTG